TGATTGCAAACAAACCTTCCTAACTGTCGGATTTCTTGTTTATTATTCTCCTACCAGTTTCGCGTAGGAAGGTCTCAAATTTATAATCTATTTGTTGTGCCGATCCCTTCGGGTCCGACACTGATCTAAATGTAAAAACCTTCCCAACTGTCGAATTTCTTGTTCTCCTATCAGTGTCGTGCCCGAAGGGCTCGGTACAATAAATACATTAAAGTCGAAAAAGATCTTTAAGTAAATTTCGAATGTATTTGTTGTGCCGAGCCCTTCGGGTCTAAATGCAAAAAAACTTCCTCACCGTCCGATTTCTTACCTGTAGTTCTACTACCAGTTCTGCCCGAAGGGCTGGGCACTACAAATACATTAAAGTCAAAGAATGTTTAAGTAAGTCTCTAAAATATCGGTTGTGCCAAGATCCCTGGGCACGAAACTGGTTTGAATGCAAAAAAAACATCCTAACTGTCGGATTTCTTGTTTACTGTCCTGCTATCAGTGTCGTGCCCGAAGGGTGCGACAGAACAAATACTTCTAAACCTGAACGTGAAATAACAGTGAACTTTGCCTGCCCACATAATTTTCTTGAATATGATACACACTTTATTATCGGAATTATTTACTGAAAATAATCTAAAATTGGTTAAGTTTTGATGCATTTGATCAGTTTTTTCAACAAAAACTCCTGAAACCGCCGAAACGTTTTGACATTGAGTGCAGGTAAATGATAGTGGTAAAGCAGCAAAGGCGACGCTTTTAGTGGCTTGAAACCAGTCGAAGACGTTTCGGCTCTTTGATCGCCGACCTTTCCGGGGTCCAGACGGGCCCCAAAGCCGGTTTTAGCGCCCTAATGGCATTTTGGGGCGCCGGGGGTGGCGCCCGTCGAAGCGACCACATACCGCCCGGGCCTTTCGCCTCGTTAAGATCAGCGAAAATTGCCTTTGCGTTTCAAATGGAATTATGAGGGGTGTTTTGTGACTTCGGCTTTACTTAGCGGCCATATTTCGAAATGCTGGCACGGAAATTTCGACGGCTATTTATCTAAATTACCACCGCGAGGGAGGCGTGAATTGGCCTGATGAATTTATGTCGCTTATGGCTCGTGCTTTTTTCCTTCTGTCGGATTTCCAATCTGATTGCTAGCAGCTGGGGGAGGGTTTCTTTCTTTGGAACTTCTCCACTCATTTTCCTCATCGAGGCCTCACTTAATCCACTCTCGTTACTAGCCGGAGGACGCAAAAGTGATAAATTTATTGGCCTGCATTCTCTGGATGCTTTAATTAATAATTCGGTAAACATCGCTTTGGTGAGAAGAACTGAGCCGCCACTCCTTAGCAGGAGAGTAATTACCTATAAAGGAGCGTGTCAGTTTCGTGTCATGTTACCTCGGCAGTTTTATTCGGCCAGAACAGCGGTCGGAATAAGGGGAAGATTCCAAGTTTGCGGTTTTCATTTTCCAGCGATAAACCGTCTAGGAGCAGTAGTAATGGCGTGCTTCACTGTTCGGGGCGAACTCCCAATGTCTACAAGTGGCACAATAAGCGAAGCAAATATTAATTCGGAGAATGGGACAGATGTTTACATGCCGGAAAATAGGGCCGGTAAATAAGCGTGCTTGATTGTTTCCTGGGTGCATTTTTGCCTTGTCAACTGTCAGTTTCCATTCGGGGCCCTCGCATGGAAACTGATGTTGTGAAGTGAGGTTATACCATTTGGTGGTTAAAGAAAAAATCGTCAAGGAATGACACCAATCATCATGTAGAACTTTTCCATGCAGCAAAGTCGCGCAAAAATCCCAGTTTTTTCCCCCAGGGAAAGTGAAAAATATTGGGCTGACCCCTCGAAGCGTCATAAACATTATTAGCCTGACCCTCAATTACATAATAATGCCATTGCAAGAATGGAAGCGGGGCCCCCATGTAAACGCACCCAGGTGTTAAAGAAATAGTTTCTTCGCACGCTCCACCGGGGTGCACTTTGGAGGGAAGGGTGCTTGGAAATGCTGCAGGGGAGCCGACATGGATATTTCGGAGGCCGTTTCCGCTGATTGATTTTTTTCAATTGCCTGTTTGTTCGATCGTGTCTAGACCGGGATTTTTCACGCGATTCTGGCTGCTTTTGCTCCACGGCAAACGCGCCGCATGAAGGTTTCTGGTGTTGGATTTGCAAGGCAAAGTTTCCTGCCACGTCTAGATTCGAGTGATTTCAACGGTTCATTTGCACTTTCCTTGGCTTACAATGATGTTTTATCACATTATACATAGGAAACAGAGCTTTCAGTGGCCCCCGGGAACATTTTTTTCTATGAATCTGTGCTTTGAGTGGTGGTGAGCTTTGCCAACCACTAAAATTCACATGAACTTTATGAAAATTGGCCTCAATTTGGGTGCGTTTTTGTGGAGGAAACGGGGCGAAGCCCTACGATTTGCCACCAAATAAAATGAACAGTTTCCGCAAATAGACTGACCATTTTTACCGAAATTTCCTTGGGGAATTTACAACGAGCGAATGCAACAACTCCAATTTTAATACGCCGGTGTCTGCCTTGAACGGAGCGCGGAAAACTCGATTCAGGTGAAAAGTTTGCAGGAAAAATTCTAATCCGCTGCAAAGCAATAAATAATTAGCGGCACAAAATTGCCTGATGAAGCAAATTTTCGACCAGGGATGGGAATCAAGGCAATAAGGACGCTAATGTGACAAGGGATGGACAAGAGGAAAATTTACGTTTGATTACAACAAGACATTGCAGAAAATATGCGGCAGCAAAGGCATCATTAAGGAGGGTTTCCACATCGGTATGGCAATGCGTTGTGTTATCGCGACTTGGGATGATACCGGATTTTGATTTAAATCTCCGAAAAGTGTGAAACAGGGTTGAAGACAACTAGAATCACCACACCAGGAAAGGCATATTGTTTTATTGAACCATCAGATTAAATAAATCGAAATTGGGTTTAAAATGGCGCTAATATCGTTGAAGTCGCTTTGAAAGCAGCAAAGTTATAAACAAAAGAAAGAAAGAAAGAAGAAACTGCTGAACTGCTACCAAATTCCGCTAATAACTTTTTGCAAAAACTTCGAAAAAATTACCAAAATTTACGACTTGAACCGTGACTTGAAATTGGCTTTAAAGGGGCTTGTGGACCTTTGCAGTCTTTTTTGAAGCACCTGAGTTGTTGACGAAAGAAAGTAGTAAAGTCTATTAGATTAATGTAATTGTTGTGCCCAGACCTTCGGGCACGACACTGCTCGGAATGCAAATAAAACCTTCCGAACTGTCTAGGGCCAAGTTTTTGGTTCTTCTGCCAGTGTCGTTCCCCAATGGTTCTACAAAACCAATACTTGTGAACCTGAAATTGAAATAACAGTGAACTTTGCCAACCAAGATAATTTACTTGCGTATGATACACACTTTATTTTGCGAATTATTTATCGAAAATGAACTAAAATTTTTCAATCAAAACTCCTTAAATCGTCCAACCATTTTCGTTCCAAGAAGACTCGTAAGTGGAGTTTAATATAATTGTTGTGCCGAACCGTTCGGGCACGACACTGCTCGAAATGCAAATAAAACCTTCCAAAACTGTTTGGAAGGTCTAGTTTTTGGTTCTCCTGCCAGTGTCGTACGCGAAGTGTTCGACACAACAAATACTTGTGAACCTGAACTTGAAGTAACAGTGAACTTTTCCCACCAACATAATTTACTTGCGTATGATACACACTTTATTTTGCGAATTAATTACCGAAAATGGACTAAAATTGCTTTCGCTTTAGCGCATTTGGTCAGTTTTTTCAATCGAAATTCCTTAAATCGTCGAAACGTTTTCGTTCCAAGAAGACTTCGACGTAAGTGGAATTTAATGTAATTATTGTGCCGAGCCCTTCGGGCACGACACTGCTCGAAATGCAAATAAAACCTTCCAAACACTCTAAGGTCTAGTTTTTGGTTCTCCTGCCAGTGTCGTGCGCAAAGTGTTCGACACAACAAATACTTGTGAACCTGAACTTGAAGTGACAGTGAACTTTGCGAACCAACATAATTTACTTGCGTATGATACACACTTTATTTTGCGAATTAATTACCGAAAATTAACTAAAATTGGATAAGTTTTAGGGCATTTGATCAGTTTTTTCAATCAAAACTCCACATATCGTCCAACCATTTTCGTTCCAAGAAGACCGAAGTAAATGGAGTTTAATGTAATTGTAATTGTAAGTGGAGTCCAAATAAACCATTTAAATCCCTCTAGTGTCAGCCATCGAGTGACACACATCTGAGGATGCCCATGACTCGTGCCTGCAAAACCTTCCAAATACGCTCGTTTTCTGCGAGCCTGAATGGTTTTCCAGGTGTCTTGAGGAAAAATCAGAAAAAGCGCGAACATTCTCCGGATAAAAAAACTCATAATTTGGCAATGTATGATGGTCAACTTTTTCCCAGAGATTATGGAAGGGTGGAGCGATAGCCTGAAAGCTTACCGGTTTGGTCTGCTGAAGTGTCACAACCACTCACAGCACCCGTCAAAGGCCAGCAGTCGCGCAAAAGGCAAAAGATCGCGAACGATTAGCGAACGAATGGAACGATCAATCGCACTCCAGCACACGAACGAAATCAGACTAAACAGTCGGAGCGAACTCCATTGATTCAGAGCGGCAAATTTTGAACGCGCGTCCTGCGCACGGGACACACTGTTGCTTTTCGGTCGGGGGGCCGCTTTTTTGGCCCTTTTTGACTCAAAAATGATTTATTATACGCTAACCCATCTGTTTGCCGGTAGAAAGGGAAGTTTTTCGGCTAAATTTACCTGTGCGAGTAATTGATTGCCGAGGAAAATATATTATTTGCCGTAGTAATAATAATGGTGAAAAAGTTTGAAACGGTTCGCCTATTTAGCTTGTGGAAAGTTATTAAAAGCGGGGATTAAAGGACGGCCATTTATTATGCCGCAGAATTAGATGCTTTGTGTCGGATACGGGAATTTATGGCTTTTTTCCTGCCGCTGCTCACTCATTGCCGACATTCATCCCCCCATCAACTTTCTGCTGATTCTTTAACATCGTGCAATATTCTAACGCCGTTGACGCGAGCCCTGCTCCCTTCCTGGCTGGGGCATGTGAAATTTTCCACCGCTTGACCATAAAACCATAGCGAGCAGTTAAAAAGTTCGATTTTTCTGGACATCAGCGGCATTTTTCAATTCGAAACCCAGATAATCAGCACATTTGTCGGCGGTCGCGGCAACATATCGCCGCTAAATTTGGGCAATTTATTTGCAGCCGCGCTTTCTAAATACGTTCGCTTAAAGTGAACGGGGGCAATGTTTAGCCCCTTGTTAAGCGGTTTTGTGTATTGGCACGCTGACAAATGGACTTTGCGAACCGATATAAGGGGAGGTTAAACAACGGCAAAATGCAGCGCCGAATGTGTAGGATCGTGCGGCCGGCTAAAGTTTATTAGTGGTCGGTGATAAGTGAGCGGATGCTAACCGGAAGGGTTCAATTGATGCCCTTTCTGATTAAGAACAATATAAATTTATTTGTTGAGTCAAAGAGACACACATTTTTCGTGGGATTGGACGAAGAACAGGCCAGCTCGATTACCCGATCTAATTAATCGGGACTTTTTTGTGGACAATTTTAGTCAATCAATGTATTTCCAGTAGTTCACCTGACGAGAAAATTGCCCAAAGTTTTGCAAGTTGAAATAGGGATCACAACTGAGGTGTTTTGAGGGAAACACAGGCAAAAGCGCGGTGGAAACAACAAAAGTCTACTTTCCCTCTTCCACTAACTTCGTGGAAATCAAAAAAATTCACACCTAATGCTTGAAAGAATTTGAAAAATTCATTAATACGGCCATCAAAACTGCACTGTTGTGAGCAAAAGAACACACAAAAATAACAAAAAGCGGGGAAGAAATAGTCCTATTAACATTTCAGAAAACCTGCTAAAGATCAATGGAATTTTACGTTGAAACCTGAATTTTCACCTTGAAAATAGAGTTTTGAACAAATAAATGCAGGCAAATTGCCAGAAAACGGACGAGCACAAGAAGAAGTACTGTTGAGATTTACAAACTTTAGAACAAACAATCAAACAAGATGATTTAAAAAGGACTTTCAAGAGGACTTTCAACCGTTGGAACGGATTATAAAATGTACAAAGTATGGGCAAAAATGCCAAGAATGATAGCTAAAAACACAGTACAGAACAAAAATTACGAGGCTTGAAATTCGCTTAAAAATAGCTTTTTCAACGCTAAATGAGCTTCTAAAACAGTAAACTTATGAGCCATAGAGAGTTGACAATCAGAATGCGGACGGTTTCTCAAAAAATCTTAACATGTCCAAAACTCAGTCAGAATTTCGTAGTTAAGCCATCACACTAGAGGGCTGGAAATTGGCTTTAAAGTAAAATTTAAACCGTTGAAGTCGCTTTTAAAATAGCGAAATTATGAACACAAATGCCGCACAAAAATAGCTAAATCACGGATTAACTTGAGTGGAATTTTGCGTCTGGACACTCATATTAAAGGACTTTGAAATGGCTTTGGAGCCCTTGAAATTGCTACTAAAACTGCAAACTTGTGACGAAAAACGTACAAAGCGACGAAAGCACGGCGAAACAACAGAAGCCCCCTTAACATCTACTTTAAAGCTTTTTTTGAGCTAATTTATTGAGTTTTGACCTTGAGCTCTAGTACGAAAAGGTGAGATTTGATTCAGAAAATATGTGGGCGGCACATCAAAAAGCTCTTTTTACATTTACAGCAGTTTTTGCGGCAATTTTCATACTTGAAGGGCTTGAAGAGCACATTCAAGGGCTTGTTTTCCTCAAAAACTCCTGAGCTTTGAGGAAAACACCGGGAAAGCACGGTGGAAGCAACAAAAGTCTGCTTTTCCTCTTTCACTAACTTCGTAGAAATCAAAAAAATTCACACCTAATGCTTGAAAGAACTTGAAAAATACTTTAAGTTGAATTTTTGACCATTAATACTGCCATCAAAACTGCACTGTTGTGAGCAGAAGAACACACAAAAATAGCAAAAGCGCGGAAGAAATAAAAAAGTCTTTTCCGAAAACCTGCTAAAAATCAATGGAAAACGGACGGGCACAAGAATAAGTACTGTTGATACTTACAAACTTTAGAACAAACAATCAATCCATGTGATTTAAAATGGACTTTCAAGAGGACCTTCAACCGTTGAAATGGATTTTAAAATGTACAATGTATGGGCCAAGAACGATAGCTAAAGAACGAATGCCAAGAACGATAGCTAAAAACACAGAGTACAGAACAGAAATTAAAGGGCTTGAACTTCGCTTTAAAACAGCTATTTCAACGCTAAATGCGCTTCTAAAACAGTAAACTGATGAGCCATAGAGAGCAGCAAAACAAGCAGAATGCGGACGGTTTCTCAAAAAATCTTACCATGTTCAAACCTCAGTCAGAATTTCGTAGTTAAACTATCACACTAGAGGGCTTGAAATTGGCTTTAAAGTGAAATTAAGACCGTTGAAATCGCTTTTAAAATAGCGGAATTATGAGCACAAAAGCTGTACAAAAATGGCTAAATCACGGATTAACTTGAGTAGAATTTTGCGTCTGGACACTCATATTAAAGGAGTTTGCAATGGCTTTGAAGCCGTTGAAATTGCTACTAAAACTGCAAACTTGTGACGAAAAACGTGCAAAGCGACGAAAGAAAGGCGAAACAACAGAAGCCCCCTTAAAGAAATTTACTGAGTTTTTACCTTGAGCTCTCGTACGAAAGGGTTTGATTTGATTGAGAAAATATGTGGGCGGCACATCAAGAAGCTCTTTTCACATTTACGGCAGTTTTTTAGGCAATTTTCGCACGCGAACCAGCACAGTAAAGGGCTTGAAGTTGAGCTGAAAGTGGACTGGTTGTCGCTTTTAAAATGGCAAAGTTATGAACAAAATAACACACGAAACACTCACTGGTAAACCACAAAAAAACTTCTTAACATCTAGAAACCCAAGTCGAACTTCGCGCTTAAACCCTCATATTAAATACCTTGAAATTGGCTTTAAGCAGGCCATTTTGTTATTCCAGACGCTTTTATAACAGTGAAACCACCGGAAATTGAAGCCCCCTGCGGGACCCAAAAAACTGCTTTTTGAACAAGCTACATCATGTTCACACCCATCAAGATGGTGCACTTTATTTTTTTTTAAGTAAAAATCGACGTTTAACTTCTTTACGTGCATTCCAGATCAAAAAGAGTTCTCATAATAAGCTGCTGATAATGTCACGAGCTATTGTGAGCAAAACGTCGCAGTGAAATAGAGATCTGATAGAAAACAATGGGAAAGAAAAAGTGCGACATTCAATATCGCATTAAATGAAATTTCGAGTTGCTTTTGGGTCTAGAGATTAAAATGATATTCGGATACAAAAAAATCCCATTCCATATTCCTCTCAGCGCCGCCCTTATTTTCATTTGGGCACAATTTCCAAATAAAGACATTTTATTACTGTTTGGGCTGTATTGCGAGCAAAGTAGCTGCTTTAAGCGATCTGTTCTTGTTTTTTTTCGGCGTTTAAAAAACGCGTTTCTGCTGGCTGGAGTCGCCGGAAATTTCCATAATATTAGTAGTAACTGGCTGGCAAAACACTATTCCTCTGGCCCGAGCTTAAAGGAAAAATTAAATATTCAGTGCCCCTCCTTGTTCTTTAATAATATGTAAATTAATATTTAGGAGCTAAGCGTGCTCTAACCTGTGTTTATTTATAATGCGGATCCCTTGCTCTAGCTAGTAAAATATGCAGTTGACGTGAAATTATGTCGGAGAAGCCGATGAACATGCCACTTTCTTTCACTTTTTATCGACTTTCAACAACATTTTGCGGATTTTAGTTGATGAAACCGGGAAAAAATCTTCTAATCGCTACGTCTTTCCGATCCGGCCATTATTCATGAATCACTGCCTGGCAATGGAAGGAGTTTTATTATTTATCGTACGCAAAACATTTTACCTATCTTTCCTCCGAGTCATCCATATTTGAATGCATTTTGATGTAGGCAAATAAGTGTACCTTTTGTACCGGCACAATGTTACTTCAAACACACAAAGGGGGGACCCTGTGAAAGCTCCACAACTCCCCAAATATATTTTAATGGCCTCTTTTTGTACGATCCGAGCGCACCCGTTCGAAAGAAGCTCTCATTCTTTCCTGTTTCCAACGTGATGGACCAGCTCTGTTTTAATAGCGGGTTCATTCAAAAATTTGGCTGCATTTTCCTGGGGGATGTGCCAGGAAGAGATAATAGAAACAGGCAATATTGATCAGGATTTTAATGATTTTTTAAGTTCACCCTCAACTCGTTTTAAGTTAACCTTTTGTTGTTTTTTCTCCGCTTTATCGATTTCTCAGTATTTTTTTGTTACACCTAAGAGTCCTAAAGCCCATTTCAAACCCTTTAATATGACGCTTGTAGTGCGAAATTTTATTGGCTTTTAGGGGACTTAGATTAGAAAGTAGATGTTAAGGGGGCTTCTGTTGTTTCGCCGTGCTTTTGACGTTTTTCGCCAATTTCAACGGCTCAAAAGCCATTTCAAAGTCCTTTAAT